TATATTTATATACATATATGTATTTATATATATACATATATATTTATCTATATATATTTATAGATATAAATATATATAAATGTATATAAATTAAAACTCTGATGAACCAGATTCTACAAAAGCATTAGATTTAAATTTTTATAGGTTTTCATCATCATTTGATGTATTTGCACTCATTGTCTACTTTTAATGTTCATTTTAGATGTGTGGTTTTCTTTCTTGTTCACATATATATGTTTTATTTTTAGCTTTGCATTAAAGTTCTTGTTTTGTGATTTGTACATTTGTGAGTTAAAATAAAGTTGAACTGAAGGTCGTCTCTTCTTTAAACATGTTTGAGGGAAATATTCCTGAGATCCAATAGATTTGTGTCTTTTTATGATTTTCAGCTGAGTTAACAGTCATTAAAGTGAAAACAGGATTTTACGATGAAGCTGGCACCTTTTTTTTTTTTTTTTTTTTTAAATCTTCAACGCTCTGCTGGTCTCACTGATCCTCTCCTCTGGAGGCTGGGAGGCTCATCCTCCCAGCTCCAGCTCAGCTGGTGACTCGCAGAGGCTGTTCCAAGACCCCAGCCGCGCGTAATCATGAAGGTCCGACCCGCGCAGACAGGCGGACAGAGACGGGTCTGCGACGAACGGTTGAAGCGATTTTAAAAAACATTTTACGTGTAAAAAAATTATAATCATTTTTAAATCGCTTCAGCAATTTTTTTAAACATTTTTTGTATAAAAACAAAATATTATTTTATTTAAAAATCGCTTCCAGCGTCTGTCCCAGACTGTCCAGTCCGCCTGACTGCCGGGTGGGATCGGGATTCAGCCTTCATGATTACGCGCGGCCGGGGTCTGGCAACGTCCATCTGCGAGTCCCCATCTCCAGCTTCGCAGTGACCATCGGAGCTCTGAGCACACAAGGCTGGTATCCGGAACCCGAGCCTCCAAGTCAGCACATCGAAGAATCTTCCGCGGTGACCAGCTGAACTTGAAGCCGGGGAGATGACGCCCTGCCCGGCCTGGCGCTCAGAGGCTCCGGAGGGAGGATCGGGGTACACCAGCAGAGCTCCATCCAGCTTGCTCTGAATTATGTTGTTGGCCACCAAGCACAAAAAATGCCAGCACATCAACATTAGACCAAGCTGTTGTCAGTATTGTTTTAAAAATCTTTAAAATAGGTCCAGCCGCTGCTCCAGTCCGAGAAATTGCAAATGGCGGATTATTGTTTTGAAACGTTTCTGAAGGATCCAGTGACTCCGCCCCCGACTCCGCCCCCGACCAATCAGTGACCGACAGTGTTCTGACGTCACGTTTTTGTACCTCTTCGTACCGGTTAGAACCACAGAGCCAAGGGTACTGAAAATAGTAACAGGTGCTAAGTACCGGTACTAATGGAAAAGCCTCAGAACCGGGCCAAGTAGGTTCGAGTCGGCTCGTACCGGTACTAATGGAAAAGGGGCATTAGAGACACGAGCAAGAGGTATTACAAATGAGATTGGTTTGTGATCAGACATGACAGCATCCCCAATGTCCAGATTTAGCACAGAGACACCACAAGACAGAACAATATCAAGAGTGTGACCCTGATGGTGTGTGGGGCTGACAACATTTTGCACCAGGTTTAAAGAGTGGATCAGATTTAAAAAGTCCTGAACCAAAGGCTTTTCAGGGCAACAGACGTGCACACTGAAGTCCCTTAGAATCAGCACACGGTCGTATTTTAACAGTATTGCAGTGAGAAAGACAGACAGTTCACTGATGAAGCCTGTGGAGGATTTGGGCGGTCGATAAAGCACCGCAATCAACATGGGGTTGGAGCGGCCCAGTTCAAAATGCAGCAGTTCAAAGGTCTGAAAAGATGGTGTCTGTAACAGTCTGCATTTCCAGATTTTCTTAAAAACAGCCAACACTCCTCCACCTCTTCCAGATGACCTCGGGCAATTAAGAAAACTACAATCAGCAGGCACAAGTTCAGAAAACACACTTGACTCACCCAGAGGAAGCCAAGTCTCTGTCAGAAACATGAAGTCCAGATTATTTGTGCAGAAAAAGTCGTTCACGATGAAGGTTTTGTTTGTTAAAGACCTCACATTGAGGAGAGCAAACCTTGTTGGGTCAGCAGCTGAGGGAGAAGTTGTTGAGGGGGGGGGCGCAGATCAGCAGTTTCAGTTTGTTTACGTCGGGTCCTCGCCTCCTCCGGCCGGAGAAAGTGCAGCCGGGACGAACAGCCGGAATCCAGGAGCCGCCGGACACAGCAGGGTCGTTGGTACGATCCGATGGGGCAGCAGATGGTGCAGCTGTTGGACCCAGGTTGGTTTCGGTTTGCTGGATACGGTTGGAAACACCACAGCTGGGCGCGCGCTCGCTGCACGCGCTCGCTGCACGCCTCCGACCCGATGTTCTGCAGCAGGCAGGACTCCGCGAGGCATCCAGGTGGAGAAACCTTAGTCCGGTGGACAACTGTAGCTGAGGAACGAGCGAGGCTAGCTTTTAGCCTCACGAGGCGGCCAGCACGTCTCCCACGGCGATGAGAGCAATGTTTTCGTGCAGGCACGAATGCCGCGTGCTGGAGATACCCAGGTACGTTCTCAAGCAGCGGAGGTGGGGGCCCAGAACCCCGGTCAAAATGTTCATAGGAGGCGAGATAAGTGGTGGAAAATTGTAGATTGAGCAGTTGCTGGCGATCATACACCAGTAGTGAGCTGATCTTATTGAAGAAAAATGATAAAAAATAGCAAAAAAAGAAACAGAGTGGACAGAGGTGAACGGCAAGCCACAAGCTCGGGCGCCATCTTGGAATCAGTGTAATAGCATGAAGCAACTGAACACAGTCTAGTGATTTACTTAAATTTAGGTTTTTTTTTTTTTTATCAACAAATGAAAACTAAGATATAATTTAGGTAACAGGAGAGTATGTTGAGATTGACCTTTTCAACCATAGTTGAAACATGATCAAATTTACAGAAAAATAAATGAAAGAATTTACTTTTGGTCTTCCCATGAATTTTAGAAGGTCAAACTGATGAAACTTCATGTTGACTATGTGACTTCTGGAATGTTCCAAATTTTTCAAATGGGCTAATATGTTATGGTAACGGGCAGCATAGCAGTGCAACTGGCAGAGCTGCTGCCTGTCAGTGAGCAGGTCCCTGGTTCAAATCCCGTTCTGGGTGCCTTTCTGGGTGGAGTTTGCATGTTCTGTCCGTGCATGCGTGGGTTTTCTCCAGGTACTCCAGTTCCTCCAACAGACTAAAAACCTGCATGTTAGACTGATTGGTAACTCTAAATTGTCCCTAGGTGTGAGTGAGAGAGTGAATGGTTGTTTGTCTTATTTGTTTCTATGTGTCCCTGTGTTGGACTGGAGACCTGTCCAGGGTGTCCCCCGCCCCTCGCACAGTGATTGCTGGACATGGGCACCAACGACCCCCATGACCCAAAATGGAAGAAGCAGATAA